AATTGATAGACAAGTACAACAATTTTAAAAAAGGATGACATTTTGAATTGGTTGAAAAAATAATATTTTTAAAATAATTCTGCCAAATAAAAATTTAAATTACTTAGTAAAAAGAAGAAAACAAATTTGAAAGCATTGTGCCAAAACACTTTCTCCAATAAATAGCTTTAAGAATATCATTGCAAAAAATAGAATGATCTACAATGAAAAATTTTATTATGTGCTGTATTATTAGAAAATAGGCATATTTTGAAGTTTATGTTTCATCTTAAGGATATATGATAACTATAAAAGACCGTATAAACATGCAAATGGTTACTTTTATATTATTGTATACCACGCAGAAAGTATGGTATTTTCTTCAACCTTTTTTATAACGTAACGTGGCATTAAAGAATAATATGATATTCGTTTGGACTCAGTTTTTACAAATCAATATGCTTTTAACTCTTTCATCGCGATGGACGAAATAACTCGTTTTCCAGGAATATTCGCTGTGCTCTATTGCTGTATTTGTGAATATGGTTATTGATTTCAATTGATTATCATTTTTTAAAGTAAAATAAATACGTTTTAAAGGAGTTTTAGTTTTATTTCAACTTTACTGCTGTGCGAGAACTCTAAGGGCAGAGGTTGGGACAAAGGCGCGTCTTTGACGCGATGAAAGTGTTAATGTGCATGCTTTTCTGCTATTACATCAGAAATTATAGTAAATACTTAAAACCCGTCATTTAACAGTCCAAAATGCCTTCGTCTAACATTAAGTTGGCAACAATTCAATGTCTAAAGTTGATTCTCTATGACGTCATCACAAAGTTTTTTTCAAAGCTTTTTTTCCCACTGCATTTGCAGCAGAGCTCTCCAGCAATGCTTAAAGTAAACTATTAATTGACGTTTTCGATTTGAAGATTAGGAACTCTAAAATTTATAATTGCCTCTGTTATATTTTTGTTTATTTCAGTTTATTTGCCTTCAACTCTGTTTTTGAATAATTCAACTGTAAACAGTGAAAGGGACAATATATATTGATAATTTATCAAAAAGCATTATTGCAGTCCACAATCTTATCTGTATTCATTCTTCTATGAATTTATAAGGATAAATGGTGGTTAGCAAAACATATAATTACATTTACATTTAACAGATTTTTACATTACATTATACAGTAAACATATATTTACATTACATTTAACAGAGTAATAGATAAAAAAAAACATTGTTAAGCTAAAATAATTAAATCAACGCGCAATTCACTTTAGATCTCGAGAAAAAAAAACGTACATACATTCTCCTCATTTACATTCAACATCTTTCAAAGAATATACAACTAAGCATTTCTTAGAATTAAAATAAAGCAAAACAAATAACCAAGCAATGAAAAACAGTTCTATAAATTCATATGAAATTGGGTGCTTGTACTTCAAGAAGAAGAAGATTACGGATATCCAAACATTTGTGACTTATGATGTCAGCGCCAGCTAATCGTTTATAAGCAAAATGGCGGGTTAAATTTGAACTAACTATCTCCACATAAGCTAGAATGTAAATTAACGTGAAGTTACTTAAATACAGCGCCGTCTCGCACATAAAATTTATTAAAATATTACTCTTTCTCGCCTACATCTTTTACTTCACTTAGATTTATTATTTGTTTATGTATTTTATTATAATCGTGATATATTTTTGTTTTATGTAGCTGGCAACTTCGATGCAGAATTAGTTTGTTTATGTTATACATAGCATTATGCTTGTCGTTGCGTAAAGTAAGAAATATATTGTGAAAAATTGAAATTCTTGAGAAAGAATCTTTGTCTAATAATACGGAATGCGTCACCTAAGAGACTTGATACTTGACGGGCTTGGTTTACTCGAAATAGAATGGAAAGAACAATTGCTAACGTAAACAAATGCCACGTTTCAACAACTGATCAAGATCGATATACCCACACTGCGCCATTATCCCATTAAGAAAAGAAAACGATTAATCTAATTTGTAGTCAAGCTTACTACCGCAGCAGAGAGCTACACATATTTGCTCGAAAAATATTACCATTTATCCGAGTATCTTAAAAAAATGCGTTACCTTTTCACATACTTTAGCTTTGGAATGAAAGCTGTATTTTAATATCACTGAAGCTATTAAAAGGTCTAAAAATAATAATAATAGAACAGTCTGTGATCGAGTTAAGCCTAATAGATGGAAATGGCTATTAGTGCTTATGAATCTGGCAATTTCATTAGTTGTAATATAGAATTTGATTTTTTCGATTAATTTATTACTGACTTTGAAAGAGTAATAAAGGCAAGTTTTGAAACTTAGAAAGTGTTGAAAGTCAGGTATTGAATCTTTTTATTTGCAGCAATTATTCCAATTGTTTATTTTAGTTAATAAATTATTTACACTATGGCAGAAATTTTTGAAAATAACATTTATTTGTGACAAAACTATTAAAATCATCTATCATATTCAAATGAAGGGTAAAATTTTACGATTGGCTGTCCTTTTAATTTCTGGCGACTATTTCAATGCCAATATTAGTGTCAGAAAGTAGTAGTTTTTTTTAAAAGATTTGACACATTAAAACAGAACTTCTTCCGTTCGCCGGACGCAAGCGAAAAATCGCCAAATAATGTAGTACCTCTTTGGTACCTAATTGTAAAAAATTTTGGTTGTACGAAACTTGGCAGAATTCTACATTATTTAGCGATTTTTCGCTTGCGCCTGGCTAATGGAAAAGTGCCAACATTTTGTATAGATGTTAAATTATCAAAGTCGTAATTTTGTTTTTAAATGTCATAAACGCAACGCGGGCTTCATCCAAATTGAAAAAAATTTGCCGCCAATGCTAGGAACACCAGTTTGACCAATCTAAGCCTAATGCACTTGTATTTTTAGTAAACTTTTTTATTATTTAGATTGTTCTTTGAAAACTCTGCAAAATAAATTTTATGTTTATGCAAGTTATTAAGATGTAGTTTTTTGGTTGGATATTTGGCAGTAAAATTCTAGTGTGCAGTGTGGGCCTGGCATGTTTTTGAAAGTTGCCGGCAATACCAAAATCGCACACATCAGTTTAGTAAAAATTTCTAAATAATTTAATTACCTTACACAGTTACCTTACAGAGTAACAATTAATTATAATTTTAAAATATTAAATAATGTGAGCATGTTAAAAAAAGGGTCAAATCTTGAGTTTACACGTTTTGTCATTTTGTTTTTAGTTTTTGGTGAAACTGTCATATAATATCTCTTAGGTAAATTTGCTTGAATAATTTATTCGTTTAAGCAATTTAAAGGTTTTTATATTTGTCCAAAAAACTATTTAGCTCCAGCATTTGTTTTCATTTGGGTATAATGATTGCCATCATTTTTATCAAATTTAATTGTAGTGAAAAACCAGATATATTCCTTGTGGATGCTAATGTTAACTGAAGATCGTATTATTTCGCATCTATCAGCAAAAATTTATTTGCACCAGTTAAAAAAGAATACTTTATTAGTTTTTAAGCGTTTTTCAAAGTTACAGGAGAATAATTACGTTAAAATGTAACTATATTTTAATTAAAAAAATTCACTCTTTATTAAACAATAGTACTTAATTGATTCATGTAACTTTTTGAATAATGAAGACTACAACATCTGGTGTGTGATTCATGGAGACGCGGTTGGCATATTACTAATATATGCTCCCTCTGTGACGTAAATTCTCGCCAAATTTGTTCCTTCTTTCATTTAAAAAGTTTCATTTTCAGAAAGTACATTGCCTGAACATTGCTTCGTTGAAAGTATTTGTTATGGCCAATTGAGATAAATCACAGTTTTACCATTGACGAAATTGATGAGATTTTTTCTTATTTTGTGCATGAAAAATCTAAAATGTTCTTAATTGATGTTTTAAATTCCCTCATTTGTCGAAATAAGCGAGTTTCTAGCGACGAATTATCCCTCAGCTTTGGACTTTCGAAAGAAGGCTGACTACAGTTATTCATGTTCTTCTCCATGGCAATACTGAGAATATACAGCAGAAAGACACGCAAGATTAAATAGATCGATGACTGCGATTGGTCTCAACTTTTTGATTTGTTCTATGTTTTAAGAATGATAAGGCAAGATTTTTTTACTCTGAATAGAAGTTAAAATAGATTTGTTTTTCTGCAATAGGGGCTCTACTGTGACGAAGTTAAGAAATACTTCCTGTGGAGAAAGTAAGTTTCGTTTTGCTGATCAATATAATATTTTTAATGCCAAAATAGAGTTTTTGTTTCTTCGATAAGCAGAGATATACTATTTTACATCGCTTGTAAGGGAAATGGAATTTATCAAACAATAACATTTAAAAGAATTAATATAGCTATGTTATGTTACTTTAAATTTTATTTATGTACAGATTATGTTTTTTATTTATTGCCATTAGTTTCTTGGTGAATTTTTAGACCATATTTTACCTTTCAGTTTTAATACTTCTCTTTTGTATTATTTTCCATCATTCATATTTTTTGGGTGCTGTTTAAGTTTTTCTGCGGAAATAATTCCTCAACTATTACTGAATTAATTTTTTTAAAAATCAAGTTCCAAAATAAATTTTTTCTCATATTTTTAACAATCAGGAAATTATTAAGTTTTAAGTGTCAATATTAATGCAATGGTCAGGCAAATTAAGGACAGTTTATTTTCTATTAGACAAGCTCTTTGCATATTTTTCCTCATTTAAAGAAGGAAAATTTACTAAAACTGATATTTTTCAAGGCACTTCTGATTATCTCTAAAAATTCAATTAGACAATGGTTTGACTTCCAGCTCGAATCCAGTTTAAAAATAACTATTAGGCTTTTCGCCCTATTTCGCCCTATTAATTTAAAGCAGTATAGAAATTTAAGTGCCCCTTAAAGAAAATTTTTAACATTTCTATAGTCATTTCTACGTAGGCTTTGAACAGTAATTTTTGTTTTAGTTATTTAAAAACTTCCAACAGCTTTTTATTACAGAGAGATTGTTTGATCAATACAGAGATTTCAAATCAAGATCTACTATGGGTAAAGGAGTAGCTTTAAAAGATGCATTGAAGAAATGGGCCGAAAAAACCGGGGAAAATCCTGCTGAAGCGACTGTTGTCAAGTTAAATGGTTGGCTGCCTTCCATAGACAAATTGGATCCATCTTTAGCCACGCTGTTCAACTGTGAGAAGTTGTCTCTTTCCACCAATATGGTCGACAAACTTACCAATCTTAATGGACTTACCAAACTAAAGATTCTTTCTGTTGGCAGGAACAATCTGAAGAGTCTGAATGGCATAGAAGCCGTTGCTGAGACACTCGAAGAACTTTGGGCTTCTTATAACAGCATAGACAAGCTGAAGCCTCTGGCTTCTTTGAAGAAGCTGAAAGTTTTGTACATGTCTAACAATAATGTAAAGGACATTAACGAATTCAAGCACATGGCTGAGTTGCCAGAAATCGAGGATTTTGTGTTGAAAGGTTGCCCAATAGAAAGTGCCTTGGCTGAAAATTACAGAAGCAAAGTAGCTGAAGCTTTACCACAACTGAAGAAGTTAGATGGAACTTCTTTGATTGCTGCTGAAACATTAGAAATGGAAACTTCTTAAATTTTAGTGGCTCTAGACGGTAATGACTGAAAAAATGCAAGCGAAGCTAATGTTTTTTATTTGCTTCTTTTCATAATATTTGAATTTAATTGAAAGAGATAACTGAAAGAGGTAAGAGGTTGGATGATATGGAATGTTTTGAGAGCTTCTTAAAGAGTGATTCTACATTGCATGGATTGATCATCGATATTACAACTGCGTTTCTTGTTTTTTCTTTTTTGTTGCATGTAGGTTTCATTAAAAGAATTGAACTCACTGTCAAAAGAGCAAATATGTTTATTATGAAGTGATAAAATTTTTTTTTGTATAAACAATAAATATTGTATTGATTCAACAAACACATTATGACTGAAATTACTTGTTTTTTTACACCTTGTGTGGTGTTCATTGAATCAAGTAAAATAGTTATTAAATAAGTTAATGTTTATTAACTGGGTTTTTAACAAATTTGTCTTAAATATGAATAATTATGAATGACTGAAGTTCCTTATCCTTGCATTTGAATTAATTTGAATGAAGTAAAAAAGTACATTTTCATGGATTGCTATAAAAGCTTTTAAAAAAGTGATTCTATAATGTATTGGCTGAAGAAATTTTTGATGATATTTTAGTTTTTGCATTTTTTTATTAGATGTGAATTTTATTGAATTTATCACTTTGATAAACATTTATTAGGAATAAATGATCATTTAAATTAATTAACAAAAAAATAAATAAAATAAATTGTTGTAAAGATAAATAATTATAAAAATAAATAATTGTAAATAAATGTTTTCTCAAAGTGAATTTTTGTATTTTAATACTTTGTAAACGCTTTCTACATAAAACTATTTAAATATATTTTTCAAGGGCAAAATTATATTTTTGATAAAAAAAAGTACAGAATTGTATTTGAAGGAAAATTGTTCTTTTTATTGAGAAAGTTCAGAACAAAATATGTTTTAGTCATTATTTATTATTTTTTTATTTATTTTCATATAGTCTGAGTAAACATGAAATTAAAAATTTCTTATTTTGCTACACAACTGAAACAAATTATGAAAATTTGTACTAGTAATGTACTAGTACTAGCATTTGTACTAGTAATAGATTTTGGTGGTTAAAAGCTGGCCACTCAGTAGGACGTATTCAGTAGGATGATTTGCTGTAACACATAAGTATTTAGGTGAAAACTACAAAAAAGAGCTTTCTTTTGCTTTACTTAAATAATCATTCATTAATCCACAAAAAAGTGTTCTAAAAGGTTTTTGGTTGTAACTGGGTTTTATGAAGCTAAATTAAAATTTGAAAAGTTTTTCCATAAAGGTCAAAATTATTATAGTTTATTATTAGTATTAGTAAAATATCTAATAGATAATTTTTGTAGATTCATTTTACTTTTCAAGTAAAGTGCAATCAGTAAGAGCAGTTTCAAAAAAAAAATATCTTCAAGGAAAAATGCTCGAATAAAAAATCTGAGTCAAATGCATTTATTCTGAAAAGGAAAAATTAAATCGAATGCATAGAAGTACCTGTAGAAAAAAGAAATACCAGTAAATATCAACTGATACGTATCTTTTTTCTTTTTATTTTCTTTTTGTTCTTCTTTCTTTTTTTAAAGGTATCAACAAAGTAACATTCGAGAAAATTGAAGGGATAATGAAAAATGATTCAAGTCAGCCAGGATGAAATTTATATGATTTAGCTCGAAGAAATAAAATAAAAAGAAAAAATTTTTTTAGCATGAAAAATTTGAGCAATGCAATAGTTAAGAATCATTAGAAGCATTACAAGAATTACGCAGAGTATAACAAACTCGATGAAGCATATAATTTAATATGAAAGTCACTGTCAATGTAGCAATTTTTTTACTTGAATTTCGACTACGAATTATTGTGCAAAAGTATTCTAGAAAACTTTTAACCTTTTGGAAATAAATTCTGATCAACTAGCATAAATAATCTATAATTCTTTTTAGTTGTTAATGTGAAAAAACGGTTAAATAATGATAATTTAGTGAAAGAATTGGTGTTCTGTGAACGGCTAAATAATAATAAAATAGTGAAATAAATTGTGTTATTGTGAATAAAAATTGGTTTTGAAGAATTTCTGTGAAAATTATAGGAAATGATGCTCAACGTTATCTGCATGCTTTTGTGAACCAGACGGCTTTTTTTCAATCTTTTTTTAAAAAATATATATATTTTAAATTTTGTATATTTTTTGAAATTTAGTATTTACTGGGGTTCTCGAAAAGTAACTGATCACTTGAAAAATTAATTAATGAAATACATAATATAAAATAAGCTTCTCTGCGTTTCACTTAGGAAACTAGTTTTTTTCCACTCACAAATTTTAAGACTAATTACAAAATTCGCTAGCAGATATTGATCAGAATTTGATTGCAAAATAATAAAACAATGCCTTCGGCCATATATAAAGCCATTCTGATTAAAATAATTGCTCACGCCTCAATTAATTTTGTTCTCAGTCTACAGCATGTCATTGCTGCTAATAGTGGTTATTTTGAAAAGATGTTTTATAGTTTTTCTCAGTTAGAAGTGACATCTCTTAACAATCTTTATAACTAATTTCAAAGCTTGGAGGGAAGAAATTTTTGTTTAACAAGCAGAAAGCAGCTGACCGTAGATTTCCATCCCCTTCAAACTTTTTAAATTGATTCTTTAATTCATCACCCCGGTTTGATTTCTTTTTTAAATAATTTACACGTTTATAAAAAAGTAGATGAATAAGGCTGGAAAATTGGGGTTAGAGAGGGGTAAGAGAATGTTTAAGCTTAAAATCCAAGAAATGGGTTGCTAATAAGAAAAATAACTTAGTTTCGGAGATAAAAACAGATCGAGTGGACTTTAAAATACTATTATCTATTATTCGAATATGTTCCTCAGTATCAAAAAGAATGCCGGACATCATACTCAAAAAAAGATATTTTGTTTACTTCATAAAGTTGAAGCTACAAAAATACTAATTCAGATAGAAAACCTTTTCTAAAATTCACTATTTTATTATAAGAAAGACAGATATTAATGAAATTTAAACATAATCTGGTAGTGAAAACAGAAATCTAAATAATAAAGCAGACCAATTTCTTTAAAAGAATCCCCTTTAAGCATTTAGGGTTTATTAAATATTTAAAAGCAGTTTTACTTCCTTTTTTAACGATTTCAATTTCATGAAAATTGTTTATTGTTGTTTATTTCTATCAGCATTAGCAGTGTAAATAAATTATAAGTAATTCCAATTATCCTTTCCTCAGGAATATGGAGCAATCAGACGTGGAAAAAATAGTGGAAGAGTTCATAACGTATGAAGACTACCTGGACTCTTTGATTAGTAAAGATGATTTGCTATACTTAGAGGTAAGGAAGAGAATTATATATATATATTGCGCATAAGCTGCAAGTAAACAGAACTCATTAGTTAAGTTCAAAATGAAGATAAAACAGAGAAAAATAATAATTTGAAAAATAACAAACAACTAATTAAAAAAAAGAAAAAAAGAGGATGAAATATAATTTAGAAAAACCGGAAAAAAGATATAATCTTTTCCTCAGTCCACACGATTATATCCGCAAAAAAGAGTGCTTTCTGATATTGTATCAATATAGCCAAAGCAAAATATATTAATACAATAGCGTGATTAGCACTCAAAAAATTTTTTTACAAAAATTACAACAAATAAAATGGAACACAATAAGTAAAAATAAAACGTAAAAACAGAAAGTAAAATAAAATAAAAAGAAAAAACAGTATAAAACATAAACTTTAAAGCGAGTAGCGAAATCAGATGTACTTACATGAACGAGAAATTTTTCAAGAATGATTTAAAAATGTTTTCGCAACAAGATTGCCAGATTACAAAATATGAAAACAAAAGCGTAAATTGAGTGTAATTAGAGGGTTTTAAAGTGCCATTCTTACTACATTACTGAAGTGATTTGTTATACTGTGCATTGATTTGCTAGTTACCAATTATGGGCCCGAAATGGATGTGCGCAAGGTAATATTATACTGGATAATTTAAAAAAGTTGACCATAAATAATTTAAGAAAAAAGATTTTTATTTAAGAAAAAATATAAAATGGAAAAGAGAAACATAAATTGCCTGTTTTGCAAATAATTTTAGCCACGGATTTGCCCGAAATGGATTTGCACATGGAAGAATTATATAAATTATCAAAGAAAAAACAATTTTAATAGATAATTTTAACACGGATTTGTCCGAAATGAATTTGCACATGGAAAAATTATATATTACCTTGCGCACATCCATTTCGGGCCCATCCTTGGTAACTAACAAATCAATGCTCAGCATAACAAATCACTTCGGCAATGCAGTAAGAACGGTACTTTAAAGCCCTCTAATTACACTCAATTTACGCTTTTGTTTTCATATTTTGTTATCTGGCAATCTTGTTGCGAAAACATTTTTAAATCATTTTTGAAAAATTTCCCGTTCATGTAAGTACATCTGATTTCGCTACTCGCTTTATAGTTTATGTTTTATACTGTTTTTTCTTTTTCTTTTATTTTATTTTCTGTTTTTACATGTTATTTTTACTTATTGTGCTCTATTTTATTTGTTGTAATTTTTGTAAATTTTGTTTTGCTCCTCACACTATTGTATTAATATATTTTGCTTTGGCTATATTGATACAATATCGGATATAATCGTGTGGGCTGATGAAAAGATTATATCTTTTTTTCCGGATTTTTTAGGAAAAATTTATCCTTTTTTTTTTCTTTCTTTCTTTTCCAGTTGTTTGTTATTTTTTTATTGTTATTTTCTTTCCCCCCTTTTTTCATATGTCTGTAATTTTCCTTCGTTTTATCTTCATTTTGAACTTGTCTAATGAGTTCTGTTTACTTGCAGCTTATGCACAATAAATGAAACTTATTGTTTTTCTTAATTTTCTTCGTGTTTTTTTGTATTTATTTTGTTGTATATATGTATATATAGGAGAGAGTCGGGTGGCCCCGCCCACCTAAGGAGTTTTGCTTATATTTCTGTATAATATTGAGTAATAATCCATATTTTTGTATGTTTCTATTGTTTTACCATCTAGTTAAATAATGCAAAAAGAATAAACCAAAAAAAGAATAGTTTAACTTAAAAAAATAGAAATTTAAAAAAACATGTTTTTTAGCTCCTTTCAAGATGTGTCGGGTAGCCCCGCCCAGTTACAAAAATTGGGTTTTTTGGCTATTTTTTC